TTTCAAGCTGAGTAAAAAGAAGAGTTTTGAATTTCTAATGGTGGGGTACCTTTTCTAATTTTCTAAGACTAGTCAAGAGGAAAGTCCTATGGCTAGACCTAGGCTACTAAAGAAGTTTTCTAGACCTCAACCAAAAGTGAGGTCAACAGGGTCAGGCGAAACCGAACGAGATCTAGGGTTGAGGCAGACCCACGAGTTCGAGAGAATGAGGCGGGGAGGGAGGAGATAGATTTAGGTTAAGGATTTTTAATATAAATTATTAGTTATAATAATAATAATAATAAAATATTATTTATTATTATAATTAACATTTAAACATGTATTTTCCCCAAGACGCGCCGTCGCAATGAAACGAACGTCCACCCTAGGCAAAATCGATGTTAAGTCGTCCGAGCAACCTCGTCGTCGATCGGGTCAAAAATGCGTTGTAGTCCAAATCCTATCAAAATTTCGGTATGAGTTCATCAAACAGGACGGTGCAGAGGACGACGGCGCCAATTCAATGATTACAACCAATCCTAAGGCCGACAATCCTATAGGAATACTCCTTGAGTTCCTTTAGAGTAGTCTTACCTGCTAAGCAATAGCGGTCGAAACTACTATATGAAATGTCAAGTCGAGCGAAGAAAAGTACATAATTGCTAACGGGGAGGGCTCCTTCACTAGTTTTCTAGGAGTAGTTGATAGAAAGGTCCTACGACTAGATTCTAGGCTAACTAGATTCTAGGCTACTAAGGAGGGGAAAACTGCACCTCGACCGAAAGCGAGGTCAACACTACTGTAGGAGGCTATAGGATGGCTTCAGCTTGGTTTAAACCGGTGTATAAGTGGGGCTCATTCTGATCATCCAACCCTCTTCCATCTAGATGAAGCAGTACACTCCCAATCCTTCATTTTGCTCTCCAAACCTTGGAAACGAATCTTAGTCCCTAAAGTAAAGAGAACAAATCCCTTCGAGTAGGTGCACGAAGAGAATAAATCATTGAAAAGTTTGATCGACTGGGGGATGTCCACTTGTCGCATGAATATTACCACGATCATAATGATCACAATCGAATTCAACGTCACTTATTTGACAGAATGATCTGATAGAATCGGAAGATGCTTACCGGTTCTTCGCAAAGGGGCAGATTGAGGCCGAGTTGGAACTGGTCCTTATAAAATAACAACTCATTGGCGTTGAAAGCGTTCACCCTCTCACCTTCCTGACAACTTGTAATCGGACTTCCTCCAAATCAATCTTCGATGAAGCATATAGGTCTACCTCAACGAACTCCATAGGGTTGTAGCGAATGACAGGCACACGAGCGAAATCAACACTATCAAATCATTTCTATTTGAGAATCAAAGCAACAAATTCATTATAAAAATCTATTACGATAGTCCAAACATAAATACTTGCATTAATTAGAAGAAAAAAAAAGTTTACACACGAATTTGCCACAACCCAGCCGAATGAGTCTCCTAAGCATGAACTCGCCCCCAGACTTGTATTGCCCCAATCAGCTAGATTAAACTTGAGCTTGAGACATCATGAACTTTTCTCTCAGATCCATGATCTTTTGGTTGAAGGCCTCTGACTGCTTCAACATAGCAACCTCTTGCTTCAAGTCGAACAATCAAGCCAAATAGTTGGCCATCTCCGCAGTAGTGTTCTCATCTGTCGTGTGAGCCAAAAAATTGTCAATTAGGTGATCATTACCGCTATCACATGCTCCCAATCTTCTTTCGACATCCCCTGCATGCGTCATTCGGGGCATCCTCTTCGCCACGTTCAACCTTCATGTCCCCACCATGCTCAGTACGATCAACCCCTTCTATTACTCACTCTTCGCCTAGTCTAGTGCTAGAAATTTCATTCAAATTCAAGGGTAGCATTCCTACAAAAGAAAATGTGTCAAAAAAAAGGTGATGATGAAAAGACCACCATTCCCTTCAGCCAGTCAAACAAATCCGAGATAGCAAGCACCGACGTGTCATCACCCAGTCTTCGGGCCATCCTTCAGTGCCTCTGCCTCTGAGAGAGATGACATTGGTCAGCACTGGTGCCGCAACATGGTTCTGTGGAACAATAGTGTTGGTTGACTCAGGGTCACAACAACGCCTCCTGGGGTTGTCCTAGGTGATCTTTCTTGGCTTGGTGATGGGTCAACCCTTCGACGCTTCCTCACAAGCTCACATTTATTTCCGCATCCACACTTGTACTTGTCGAATAAGCCGCGGAGGAGAACCATAATCGATATGTCGGTTTGATACAAGGTAAGATCCTCCATTGAAAGGAAATGATGAAATAATTGGACCCAAAAAGAGAAGACTGAGAGCTGATGAAATGGAATTCTGGGACATCTTATCGCACTATTTATATGAGCCAAAAAGCCCATAATTCATGGGAGTAGTTGCATTATGAGCATTTATTTCTAATTCAAAGCTAATTATTAGAATTTAATTCTCTCATTCTCATGTAGTACGGACTACATGCTTTTACTCGCCGAACCCTGAAAGGCGAATACCCAAGGATGAGCAAGAAGCCAGACACCGGCACAATCCGAAAATTATTCCCCTAGCTGGTCAGGACAGGTTGACTTGCCTTTGCATCTTAATAGATCAACTAGGGTTTGACTCTCTTCCAGATCTTGAGTCATGATGACAGGGGTAACAAGAATCCGAGGGACCAACACCTTAGGGTTTTGGTGGGATAAACACAAATACATCTTTTCAGAAAGGTCTAAGCATTATAAAAAGAGGAAATTAAATGTAATAAAGGACCTTTTGGATCTTTTTTCCAATATAGAAGAAATCTGAATACCATAGCACTTTTCCCTGATCTCTCTTCCCTTCATTTGTTTCCTCTCCCCTATACCTTGGGCTTGCTTTAGGAACAATTCTGGGTTCAACATCCTTAAATCTTTTGCACCATCAAAATAATTGTAGAAGCACTATTTTTGTAACTCTGCTGGCAGTAGCACTAAAAATGTGAAACAAAAGAACATGGCTAGGAAAATTTGAGCAAATGTACTGCAAATGTATGCACACCACTTAGATATGCTCATAGTTTTTATTGATTTGATTCAAATTTTCAGAATATTATAAATGTGCTAATACAACTATATCTTGATTCCTATTTTAAACATTTTACATGAGAGGAAAGTGTCAAAATGATTCTTTGGTTCTTTGTTGGGGGCTTTTTTAGTCCCCGAGCTTATAAAAGTGTTGATTTAGTCCTCGAATTCGTTTTATAATGGTTAAAATAATTCATAATAAGGATTATTTTATCCGCCATTAAAAGAGTTTGATGACTAATTTAGCATATTTATGAACTCTGGGAGTAAAATTACTCCATATAAATAGTTAGGGGAATATTTTGACACTTCACATATTGGAATATTGTTTGCAAACTACTTGAATGTAATTTACGTTTGCATAAGGTATCAATGCACCACTTTCTCTTGCTCTCAACATTATACTTTGTTTATTAAAGATAAAGAAAATCAGGTTTTGGTATAAAATATTAACTTTAGTGCTTCAAATTTTTAAGCAGTTCACCTTCAGACTACATATTATTTGAAATAATTTCTAGGATCTTCCTCTTTCAAACATTTATTATTTGATAATTTCTTCTATTAAAAGTTTGGTAGTATGATTTTTACCAGCTTCTATTATATTTTGTCGCTCCATGTATGAATACTAGAGTAATGAAGTTCAAATTAGTCCCATGAATGTTTACATGGGTCATTTTAGTCTTAGAGTTTATAAAAGTATCAAATTAATCCCCTACTTTTTAAATTGGGGCTGAAATAGCTCTCAATTTGGATTAATTTTGCTCAAATATATTGAGTCTGAGGACTACATTGGCATATTTATAGACTCTGGAATTAAAATGACACCCCACAAAAAGTCATAGGACTATTTTAATGCTTTTCTCAATGCTAGAGCTATAGCAAATTAGCCTGAATCATGTAAAAAACCTTGACTTGGCCAATGAATTTCTGATTGTTGTGTATTCTAGAGAAACAAATAACTCTACTTGTTCTTAGGATTCAAGATGATATAAAAAAGTTTTGTGGTACATTCAGATGATACTATTAAACTGCAAAAATTATGTTTTTGTGCTACAACATAAGTTTAACCCCCCACCCTCTTCTCATTTTTGAATATTTATCTTTTTAGGCATCTCAAAATCACTTCATAAATAACTCTCTGAAGTACGTCATTTTTGTCCTAGAGTATATAAATGTATAAATTAAGTCCCCATATTTTTTTAGTACGGGTTGAAGCAGTTTCCACAGAAGACTATTTCAGCCCCTATTAAAATAGTCTTGGGACTAATTTGATATTGTTTATAAACTCTGTGGCTAGAATGCCCCCATGTAAATAGTTAGGGAACTATTTTTACACTTCAGAGAGAATCTTGGGATTGGAAATACTCTCTAATTTCTTTTTAAGTCGAGTGAATGATTTTGTGATAGTTTTACACCTGTTATATCATGTCTGGTAGGAGATGGACTCTGAAACTTTTGATGATGGGAAAGTTCCTTTATCATGTCAAGATGGTGATCAAGCATGCAAACATGATTTCAAGCTAGATGAGCAGATTGGAATAATATGCCAGTTGTGCAATTTTGTTCACACCAAAATCAGAGATGTTATGCCACAATTTGTGAGTCCAAATTGCAGGAAAATTCCTCTCTTTAAATGTTTATTGAATATTTACATACATGCTGCTCAATTCCTATGTAGTTCCATATCTAACTCTTATACTTCAATTTTTACATAAAACCACCTTATCTTTGTATGAGAATGTGTATTTCACTTTTTAGAAGTTAAAATGGTGTTTTTTTTTATGTGATATGAAAGATTTTGTGGTATAAACATAAAAAGGAGAGTTTTAGGTGTTAGATATGTAAATTCATAGGAACTGGGTGGTTTGTATTTAAATGCGCCATGTTTATGGAAGATTTACATACATATCACCAAATTCCTACTTAAAATTTAATTTTTAAATGTATATCACCTTTCCTCCTTTGTATGAGAATGCATATTTCATTTTTTAATTGTTAAAATAGTCTTATCTTCTATGTGACATGAAAGATTTGGTTGGTATAAATGTAAAAAGCAAGCAGAGTTTAGGTGTTAGGTTTAGGTGTTAGATATGTAAATACATAGGAATTGGGTGGTATGTATGCAAATGCTCCCTATTTATGGAAGATTTACATATATACTACTCAATTCCTATGTATTTACATATCTAACACTTAAACTTAATTTTTACACATCTACCACCTTACCTTTGTATGCTAATGTGTATTTCACATTTTAGAAGTTAAAATAGCTAGTATTTTCTACGTGATATGAAAGATTTTGGTGGTATAAATGTAAATAAACCAAGTTTAGGTGCCAGATATGTAAATATATAGGAATTGATGCCCCGTGTTTACGGAAGATTTAGATACATATCACTCAATTACTATGTATTTATCTAAAACTTAAACTTCACTTTTTACATATATACCGCCTTACCTTTGTATTACTATTCATTTCACTTTTAGAAGTTAATCTTATTTTTGATGTGATATGATAGATTTGATTAGCATAAATGAAAAAAAAGGCAGAGTTTAGGCTCTAGGTTTGTAAATACATAGAAATTGAGTGATATTTATGTAAATTCCCCAATGTGTATTTCATTCCTGGAGTATTGATAAATATAAAAATCTCATGCAGGTGATGAGCGAAAACTGGAATTTAAGCAGGGAGCAATGTGGCAAACTGGAATTCAGCATAATGGACACCTATAGTTTAGATCCAAGTTCTTTTGATGATCCTACCACAAACTTTGATATGGCTTCTTTAGGTGGAGAAGACAATGTGTGGGCTTTGATACCTGAGCTGAAATTGAAGCTATATACTCACCAGAAAAAAGCTTTTGAATTCATATGGAGGAATATTGCTGGATCTCTTAAGCCGAAAGAGATGGATATTCGTTCCGCTGAGACCGGCGGCTGTGTTATCTCGCACTCGCCGGGCTCCGGCAAGACTCTACTTTTGATCTCCTTCATTATCAGCTATCTGAAACTTTTTCCGAGGAGCCGACCACTGATAGTCGCCCCGAAGATCACCGTTTATGTCTGGAGAAAGGAGTTTGAAAAATGGGGGGTTCAGTTTCCCCTACATATAATACATCCAGCTCAGAGCTTCCAAAAGGCAAATCTGGATTGGAAATTTAGAGTTTCCTCCATGGAACATAGAAAGCCGAACAGGAAGATGAGGCATTTGGTGGACTGTATGTCTAAGTTTCAGCAATGGCATAAGGAATCCAGCGTGCTTCTGATGAGTTATTCTTCTTTCTTCTTGATGCAGAAGGAGTCGAAAGACGAGCACAGAAAATTCATGGCAAAGGTGTTGCGGAACAGCCCGGGACTTTTGATTTTAGACGAAGGACACAATCCCAGAAGCACTATTTCAAAGCTAAGAAAAATTTTAATGGAGGTGAATACCAAATCCCGGATTCTGCTCTCCGGCACGCTGTTTCAGAACAACTTTGAGGAATATTTCAACACTCTTTGCTTGGCCAGACCCAGCTTCGTAGATGACGTTCTCGGCGAATTGGATCGAGAGAAACTAAACACTTACAAGAAATCAGAGAAGAGAAGCAAGAGGAAGGAGAGAATGGCAAGAAAGCTTTTTGTGCAGAGAATTGGTGAGAAGATTGAATCTGACATGGAAGATGACAGGAAGCTGGGCTTTGATGCGCTGAACAAGATCACCAATGGCTTCATGGATATTTATGAAGATGACAACTCTGGTAGGCTTCCAGGTTTGGTTATTTATACTATAGTGTTACTCCCTGCTGATATACAGCGTGAAGTCTTAGTTCGTTTACAGAGCTGCTTAAAACTCACAAGAAGATATCCCATTGAATTAGAACTGCTAATCACAGTCGGTTCTATCCACCCATGGTTGATAAAAACCATGGCCCATGCTGAAGACTACTTCAACAATAGCGAGTTAGAGAAAATTGAGAAATATAAGGATAGTGTAATAAGTGGTTCCAAGGTGAAGTTTGTGTTTGATATTGTTCATAAATCTATCATGAAGGGAGAGAAAGTTCTCATCTTTTCTCACAATATTCCTCCCATAAGCTTGCTTGTGAGATATTTTGAGACTTTTTTGGGATGGAGGAAGGGGGAGGAAGTCCTGGTTCTTCAAGGTGATCAAGAGCTGTCATTGAGAGCGAAGATCATGGACACGTTTAATGGCGATGTGGAGAACAAATGCAAGGTTTTGATTGCGTCGACATCTGCATGCGCCGAAGGCATTAGCCTGACGGCCGCATCACGAGTGGTTTTGTTGGACTCGGAGTGGAATCATTCGAAGACGAGGCAGGCGATCGCTAGAGCATTCCGGCCTGGTCAAGAGAGAAAGGTTTATGTGTACAAGCTGTTGGCTTCAGGAACTTGGGAGGAGGATAAGTACCGCAGCAATGATTGGAAGGCTTGGTTGTCGAAAATGATCTCGATGGGTCAATACATTGAGCATAATTCTTGTAGGGAAGTTGATGTCGTCGAGGATGAGATTTTGACCGAGCTTCAGGAAGAAGATCAAGGAAAGATGTTCCAGATGATAATGGAGCAGAACTAAGGCTCTTTGATTAAAATAGCTATCCACACTTGGTTGTTGATTGTCCGTAGGGGATGTTTGGTTTGCTGAAAAATGAATGTAGCTTATTTGAAATGTTTTGGAATTGTTTGGTAAGGTGTCGAACAAATGCAGTTAGTTAGTTTGGTTGTCTTTGATTTTAAATGATGTCAATCTAAAATTCGGCGATGACTGACTAGTGGTGATGAACCGAATTACGGCTGTCCAATTCTATAACTTTTTAATTCATTTTTTTTTTCATGGAATGAATAATTAATTACAATCCTTTTCTTATGTGCAATTTCTATTGTCAAAACAAAATCTATAAGATCTGAACACAAATATTGGGAGATAGAATGTTATGTTTTGTAAGCATGTCTTTAGACCATCCTAAAGTTTGGTACTTAAATTGTTATTTCTGTCTGATACAATCACTTGAGCAATTTCATATAATCTCGATTTTGTTTTCTTAAAATTGATCTAACTTCTTAATGAACTTAGTCCGTTAGACCTGTGACAGAGGTGGTGAAGGATGATAGATGTATGCTTTGAAAGTTCTTACCTTCGATTTCCAAAAAAAGAACGATAAAAAGAGAGAGGAGAAAAAGTTGAGGGGTCCTTTTAGAAGGTGGGAGAGTCTTTATTTGTCATGGCTTCTGATGGCATCTCCCTTCTCTATCAGGTTACAGAGAAATAAGTTTAAATAATTTTGATACAATATAAGGTTTATCCACTATGCGTCCATGAAGAATGACAATAATGCAGATGTCAAACGACTTGTAAATGAACCTGAACGTGTGTCACATTTTTAATGATGACCAACACTTCAGTGGTTGGTTGCTCCTGTAGAATGCTAGTTGAATGAGAGGCGGATCAACCCAGCAGTTAAAACATAACAACTATCATTTCGACAGGTTAACTCGATAAGTCGAACAGACAAATCAACCCGATAGCCAGGACTTGATAGCTAGCACTTGGCATATGGGTAAGCAGGCGAAGCTTGACATCTACATTTTTGTGAGAAAAATGGGCCTGCTAGGCAAAAAAAATGAATGATAATATCAATATAGTTCGTGAAGATCGTTTGTTGATATACACATAGTTCACGAATTACTTTCTCTTTAACAGGTGATTGCAAGAAGAATGCGAGGATGAATATTTTAGGATTTTTCAACATTTTGTATCGGCAAAGTTTAATATGCGCTTGTGAGACATGACATATGATGCATACTGCTTCCCGAAAGGTTTTGACCTTCCTAGAAGGCAACTCATGAAACTATTCATAATGAATAACAGTCGAGTAAGGTTTAAATTATCTTCGATAGATGGAAAACCTTGTGCTTGCTATGCTCACAACTTGGTCAGGGGATGATGAAGTGCAAAATCACTCTTATCGAGTTTAGATTGTTCTTCACCTGGGGCGAGAGCTCACCTTAAGGGAGTAGTTGCTCAAGCTTACTGATGAGTTTGAATTGTTCTTCGTTTGGGGGTCGTAGCTCGCTTTTAGGGAGTAGTCTCTTGAATCTCTAAGTAAGTGTGTATCATTCCTCGTTCGGGAGCCTTGGTTGGTTGGGGGATATTCGCATCATAGACATTACGGAAAATATCCGAAAAAAATAATAAAATAGAAGCGCACAAATAAGCAACAACATAATGATTACATGTGGAAAAACCTGCGAAAGGAAAAAAAAAAAGAAACCACATCATACCAAGAAATTCACTATGAAATGATGATAAATGCACATGTTACACCACACTCAACTCTCTCAACGGTCTTATAACTCACAGACGCTCTCTCGATCTCACAAGAGAAATTTGTAGAAATCCACCCACAACTCACAGACACCGCTTTACGTTGTTTGCCCACATTCGTACACGACCAAGAAAGATTCCAAATTCTACATGAAGGACTTAAATGCATAAACTGCTCAACCTATTTTTGGTCTTGGATCGTATGTCCCGAGCATCGAGTTTTCGGACGCTATGTTTTTAGAAGCCGAAAACGAGCATATCTTTTGTTGAAGCGCCTCACTGGGGCGCCAGGTTGTCTACAACTCAATTTCTGGACGCCTAGGCGCCCCTCATGGCATTGGGTTCTTGGTTGTCATACACTAGGAAGCTTTCCTGGGTGCACTCCTTTCCAATCATTGTCAATCAGACTCCACATATAATAATCTTTCACTTTGAGACTAATGTGCAATCACCTTTCCTCCAAACTTGCACCATCCAATTTCTACCAACTTATTATAACGCAATGTAGTGTGGCTCACACCCGGTCTCAACCTTCTTGAACTCTAATTGAAGCCAAGCGTAGCTTCAATTATTTAATTGAACAACCTTCATCAACATATTTGTATGATTTTGCACTCTGCATATCTTCTTCAAAGATAATTAACCATCTTCTAAGAGAGAATGAATGAAGTGATACTTTAGTTAAATGTGCTTTTATCCTTGCATGAAAAGTGGTGTTATTAGCTAGATGAATAACACTGATGCTATCACTATGAAATTTTTCTATATCTTGCTTCTTGCCCAATTATGTCATGATGGTATGTAGTCAAATCATCTTCTTATTAGCCTCAATGATAGCAATGTCTTCAGATTATGTAGTTAGAAGTGCAACAATCTTCTACAGCTAGAAACTCAACTCACTGTTGTGTTCCCTAAAGTGAACACATACCTTGTTATACATCTTTTACCATTGATATCCTCTATTATATCCAAATCTACATATCCTTATTGATCAATCTTTACACCTCTGAAAGAAAGTACCCTGTTGATTGTTTCACTTAAGTATATGAGAATTTACCTCATTGCCTGCCAATGATGTTTTCTTGGATTAACCATGTATATACCGACCACTCTCCTTGCATGTAAAAATATCTAGTCTCATACACATCATCACATGAATCAAAATTTCAACTCCTAAAGCATACAAAGTTTTTTTCATCTTTGTTTGTTGTGCTTCAGACTTGGGCTATAGTTCCTTAGATAATTTGAAGTGACTACCTAAAGGGGTGCAAATTAATTTTGCCTCACTCATGTTGAACCTGTGTAAGGTCTTCTCATTATATTTTGCTTCAGGTAACTTCATTATTCCGACACTCATATCTTTGCTAGCTCTCATATTGAGAATTTTCTTGGTTTGACCCAAGCCCTTCATCTCAAGCTTTCTTAATAATTACTCCTTCAAGTCCATGATCTTCTCCATTTCTGCTCATGAAATCAACATATCATACATATATAATAGAAGCACGGTATATCAATTACCAGAGTATATGATGAAGCAACACAAGTTTGCTTAACACTTCTTCTACCCACTGTCCAACATAAGTTTGACAAACCTCATGTATTAATGACTTGGGGCATGCTTCAAACATAAAAGTCCTTCTTCAATCCACAGACCATGTATTCTATCCACATAACTTCATACCATTACGCTTGCACCATATACAGTTCCTCTTCCATATCACAATGTATGAAGGCTATCTTCACATCCATCAACTTAGATATATTTTCTTCTGCTACCATGCTAAACACAGTCGTGATAGCTGTCATCTTCGCTATAGAAGACATTATCTCTAAGTAATCCAATCATTTTTTTTGTTGAAAAGTCTTCATAACAAACATTGACTTATAATGATTGTTACAATCTAACTTTTTTTTTCAATATGTATGTCCACTTGTTGTGCATTGTCATTTTGTCATATATTAATTTTGCCAGATTTCATGTTTAATTTGGTTTCAATGACTTCATCGTATCATACATGACAAACTTTCACTTGTAAGTATTCAAATTGAGTGGCTTCTTAGTATCAGTCATGTGTCTCTGTTGAACCTCCTAACTTCAATACCGTGCTTCATTAAATTGAGCATCTCCCCTTGTACATTTTTATTTCATTGAAAGTAACATCCTCACTTCTAATGAATTTCTGATTCTAATAGTCTAAAAAATTGTACACAAATTTATTTGAATCATGCACATTAAAAGTGCACTTGACTGATTTTGAATCAAGCTTGCTTTTGAATTATGTATCAATATGAACAAGTGATGAAAAAATACATACTCTCACTTGAGATTGATTTACCTCTTTATCACTTCAAGCTTCTTCAGGGAAGCTTTCATTCAAAGGTATCGACAAACCATAATTTATCAGATGAACTGTAGTATTCATTGCTTCTTCCCATAATTGTTTTAGTAAGCTTGCATACAACCTCTTACTCTTGGCACCCTCTATGATGGTTCTTTTCATACGCTCAACCACACCATATTGTCATGATGTCATTGGAGTTGTGTACTCATATCTTATTTCTTTTGATGTACAACTCATGAACCTTTAATTATGATACTCACTGCAGTTATATGATATGAGACATTTCAATCTCAAACATGTCTCATTCTCAACTGCGGCCTTTCACTTCTTAAACACATCAACTACAATTTCAATTGTTTTATCGTGACACACAAATGCACTGATTCGATAGTTAAAAAAATTATATTGTTACTAGTTTCATAAATAACAAAATTTTGAGTATTATGCACAACATTATCCCAAAAATCTTTTTTGGTTGACTTCTTCTTTTCATTTTTGTTAATATCACAAAAAAATATTTATAATTGATTAACTTATTCTTTTCAAATCCAAATTTCAAATATGCTTCAATAATTTATGAATTCAATAACAAGCATGTAATAGCACTCCTTTTTTATCAATCATTAGTTATCAATATGATATATTGTGATTGAGATATTTTAAATATAGAATTTCAAAAGATATGCAATTACACCTCAAATGCAATGTAATTTAATAGTCATAAGGTTATAGTTATGTATTTTTTTGTTGAATTCAACATTATTTGGACTAGTATGTTAACAAATTCTTATTTACGTATGTGAGGTAATTGTGTAAATTCAAAAAAGAATGGGATATATATGAGCATAAATATAACATGATATGAGTACCAATAAATTGAGAGTGATGATTCATTTGTCATCTCACATTACCTTTTTTTTTTTACTTATGCCGTATAATATGGTATTGTATTTGACTCATAACTAATAATATAAAAGAAATCACACAATTTTATGTGATTAGTCATATGAATGACTTGCATAACATATGAATGAAGATATACATCTCTTACTACAAAATGAGTTATATAATATTGAGGTGAGATGCCTAAGTTATGATTTATATGATTGGTATTATGCTCGCGTTATCTAGATGTGAATCAAAGCACCAAATATTTACATGCATATTGCATACTATATATATATATATA